CTGAACAGGGGAAAGCAAGGCCATCTGGCTACACTGTTTACCCCCCCATCTGTCTTCTAAAAAAAGTCAGGCTGCCAAGTTAAAAGCAAAGGCATTTTAAGGGGTGGAAGGGAAATGCATTTATGAGCAAGGTGAAAACAGAACATGGATGTAGCAGGCATGTGAATCAGTGCCCCTGGGTGGTGCAACTGAAGCCAAGAGCTTAGGAAGGATCCCAAATAAGACATGAGATGGTTAGGAAGAATTGAGGGCAGAAGAGACAGCACAAAAGCAGGTAGGTCCCCCTCGAGAACCTGTACGTGGTGCAGAGGTTTCACGGTAGCCCTGCTGTTCAGAGTTGACTTCTGCCTTCGGGAAAGTATCTTCTGTAGGTACATGAGCTAGGATTGCTACACCTGCCTGATTGCTCTCACCTGCAAGAAGGAATCCCAGCTCCCTTTGTGTGAGATGCCGCAGCAGAAAGCAAAACGGTCTGGGTTTTCTATCCAACTCCAAAGGACTGAATCTTATCGGAGAAGAGCCCAAAGCAGATGGATCCTTTGAATTTGAGTAGGAGGCGGGACAGCCGTCTGGGCGGCCGTTGTGGGTTTGTTCTAGCTTGGTAAGAGGCGGGATACTTGGCTAGATGGACCAGTATGAAATAACAGTTCATGCCATACTGGGGAGTGAAACCTGGTTAGAACATGCTTCTACTGTGGCTGAGTTTAGGCTGTGTTGAAGCCCTATAACATTTGGATGGACAAGGTCTGGGATGCACTTTATCTAGCATAGTGATCAGTAAAAAAAAGCCGCTGGTTGGAGAAACTGTGATGGTGATGATGAGGGCTAGTGTATTCCACTAACCTCTTGGCACAGGCCAGTGGCCTCTTCCTATAGCTCCTGAGATATGGGCTTGAGCTCTATGCCAGCTTCATGCCAACAGGCCACCGTGCTGTAAGGGGGCTCCTGGGCACTCTGTCTGGGGCATCAAAATGCAGCTGGATTTGATGTTAGCCACATTGCTCCCCTGGGTGCTGCTGGTTACAGAAACCAGCGTGGCCTGAAAACGCACCAGCCGTGAGGGCTGCTATGCTCAGGAGAGCCTGTGATGTTGTCAACTAATGCTCTCTGTTGGAGCATCTCAAAGCCCTTCAGAGAGGAGGAGTAAAATCAGCGCTCCCATTTCAGAGAGACGGGAGCCAGTTGAGCGACTGAGACCTCCAGTGTCCAAAACCACCCGCCACTTTTGGGAATTTGGGGCTGAGTGACTTGCCTAAGGTCATATAGTATGTCAGTGGCAGCCCAGAACAGACCGCCCAGCTCCCTTGCCCTGCTGTAGATATTAGACAATGCCGCTTAAAACACAGCTGGAGTGAGCATGGTTGTACTGTAGCTAGTGCAGCTGTGATCCCAGAGTAAAGATAAGGGGTGGGGGGAGACTGATTCCTAAAGGACTTAAGAATTCAGTGTCAGCTCTGCCAATTATTGCAGGGTGTGTTTTTGCATTAATTCATATTCCAGAGCTCTTGAGCTATCACAGGAGCTCCAGAGGCAATTGAAGAACTACAGGAAGGACAGTGCAATCTCCAGTTGGCAGGAATCACTTTTAGATTAAAAACAAACAAGCCAGGTGATTGCCCAAACCCTCACCTCCGGGCCTGGTGTAACATTAGCAGTAATGATAATACCGATCACAGATGCCTTTCCTCTACACTTACAAAATTACAGCCTTTTAAAGGGCTTGGCGTTCCTTTTGCTCGAGGGCTGGCTACATTTCTGCAGGAAGTGGGAACAAGCTCATTTCAAATGTCGGAGGAGACCGAGGAAGGAAAATATCACCACTTGAGTGATTAATGAGCAAGCTGCTTATGTACCAGGGAGGAAAGGGACTAAATTAAGGACATATTTACACTGGGGAAATTTATAAGCAAGTCTATCTCGGCTGATTCGAATGTTGATTCCAGCTGAGCCAGTGGGGAAGAGGCTTTTTTGGCATGTTTCCCAGTGTAAAAGTGGCCAAAGAGAAGGGACATTGTCAGTCTTGGACCTACACAAGCACTTACATTTCCACTCATGAGCATTTTTTTGGGTGCGTGTGATTATGGCTGTGTTGAAGTCCATGGGAAATCTCCCCGGTGTCCTAAGCACTGGTTTGGTGGAAGGGGATGACTTGATGAACTGGCAGCTAATGTCTTACAGAAGAATCTCCCAATGGAGGCAGCCAACCTTCCTGTGCCGATCGACTGTCTCGCCAGCAAGGGCTGGGATCGTGCGTTGGCTGGGAGGAGCTCTAATAGATCTCTACTGCCTCTCACTTTTATGGCATTGTCAAAGCCCTTCTTACACCATTTTGCACTGGTATAAATCATATCTTCATGGGGTCCATGTCCTGGCGCTAAATCCCTGTGATAATGAGGCCGGATAATTCCCTTCAGAGACTTCTAAGGTGTGATGTCAAGGTCTGGCCAAACCTGCCCACTCTTTGCATGGCTCGGTATTTATGTCAGCTAGGAGGCAACCTCAATACAGCAGTGCCAGCCCAAGAAGGGTCATGCTTAGCGTGAGAAGAGCTATTCTGGGACTGCAGGGAAGACGCCTGCCCACAGCTCCCAGCTGGAAAGGGGACACAGTAATTGTTAGCTTTGAGTGCGTGGTGGGGACAATCTGTTATTTTGATGTTCAGTGTGGAAGAGAGGAGTCCAGAAAACAGCCCCCCTAGCATTAAAACACAGCTGGGGCTGAGTCACGGGAGTGGCACCTGGTGCTCACACGATGCAGTATTCGGGGTCAGGGAGAGGTGTTGGGATTTTCTCTGCACTGAAGACCCTGGGGCAGGCAGGGCATGGGGCACAGGGCTATGGGACCCCACATGGGAAGGACCTAACTTCTTTGGTATGCTTTCACCAGGTCAAATAGCCCCTTGTGCTTGTGACGTGCACAACCCAAGGGAGCTGTAGCACTGGAAAGGATGGCAGTGCTTGTGCAGCTGTCAGAGCAGCAGCGAGGAGTGGCAGAGGAGGGCTGTCTTGCTGCAGAAGGGATGGACGTTTTCCAGGAGAGAGCAGCAGAGCCAATGCATGCATGGAAGTCTGTCTTTCTCTGCAAGGGATCTTGCAACAGTGGACATCCTAAGCATCACCAACATACCCCTCTTCAAGACACTCGCTCCCAGGCAGGAGGACAGGCGGCTTCTCCAGGCTCGAGAAGGGGAGATCAGTCTTCCTGGCCTACTCAGTCCTTGGCATCTCTCCTAAGGTTTGCAACAAAGGGAACTGTCAATGCGAGAGGCTTGGCATCAGGAGTTGTCTTGACCTCTCCATTTGACTGGCTGCTTCATTGACTATGGGTGAATATGGGAGCATTGCAGAGCATGCTCTGAAGGGTCCCCCATAACTGCAGGGCAAGGACAAAGCCAAGTAGCTGCAGGTGAACAGGCAGGGACACAGTTTCTGTCCCTGCACCGAGGGCCATTGGCTCCAGAGTTTTGTTATGGCACTGGCTTAGTTTTGCATATGCAGATATATGTAGATGTATATGCAAATGAACCGTGACCCACGTGCAGCAAAGTCTGGGCACCCCCTTAACCTGACCACCACCAGATGCGTTCGGTACAGAGGAGAGAGTGAGAAGAGGGCATGTGTACGCATTTACAACAGCTGCTTTTCCGAACTCTCCCAGCTGTTCGCTGCAACCAGGCTGGCTCAGTACTGAGGCTGGGACTCTCCTCCTGGTTTAATTTTTGATGAGAGTCTTGCTTCATGCACACCCAGCACAGAAAGCAGCTGTTTGCTATTGTCACCTCGGCCGGGGCTCCCAAGAGCCAGTGGAGGACACTTTGCATTAGTTTTTCCTTCTTCCCTCTAATCAACTCCAGGCCTCTTCCAGTGAGGAAAGAGGCCATCACCTTCACAGACGCAGAGGCAAGGTTGAGCCTCGTATGCTTTGGTCTGCGGATCATATTTATTTGCTGGGATGACACATTTTGTTTCAGATGAGAAGGGTTTATTAGCCTAGCCAGGGAAGCGGGTAACAGGATGAGAACTGAGTGGCTGTTTTGCAAAGCAGACGGCTTTCCATCCTGACCTGCACCTCCTGGGCTCCCTGCACATGTAGCTGTTAATGAACCTTGATGGCAACATGCAGACAGTCTCCTGGCCCAGTCTTTGGGCCTCAGCCACAGCTCTGCCAGGGCACCTCATCCCTGAACTCCCTACTCGGGAATGCTCCTGGGCACAAAGACCTGTGCCCAAGCCAAACTGGGGAGGGATTTTCTTGTGTGGATCTACACGAACTGGATCTGGGATCCAATTCTTCTCTGTGCTACCTCTGCCACATGACCATATTACAAAGCCATGACTTCAGTCTTCCTTCCTCGTGCTTCAGTGCCAATATTCCTCCTTAGGGCTGGCATTTGCCTCATGGGGTACAACTGCTCTCAGCCTACAGGGAGCCTTATGGGGCTTTGGCCCCGTCTGAATGTGCTACCGCAAGAACATGTCTGATGGTAGGTCTTTACAAAGACGGTGCAGAGAGAGGTGATGCTGTCTCGGATCAGTCTGTGCAAGTGCCCAGTTCAAACTGCCATCTGTCCCCTCCACCCCTTTTCACTTGGAACAAGCGCTTTGTCAGCCAGCCGATAGACGGTGGGTCTAAAGCCTTATTCCTGCCTCTGAGGACAAGCATGCATTTATCATCTCTCCCAGCATTTGGGAAGCAAAACCACATCTACAACCATGAGCACTGTTCTTCCCAGTGACAAGATTGGCATCAGTTTCCACTGACCCTTTTCTGACAGCTTCTTGCTATCTCTCCAGACATCTGTTTATTTCTCTCTTGATTAACTCATCTATCTTTTCAATCTCTCTCTCTCTTTCTATTTGGTCCCCCAAACATTAAATCTGGTACCTTGGAATATTAAAATTAAATATGGATTTAAAACAACAACAAAAGAAACGCTCTTTAGGTCGCTAGGGAAGAGAAATTGCTTCCCCAGCCTCGCCGATCTCCAATTCTACGCACGGCAGCCTCTTTTGGTTTGGCGTAATAAGAAACAGACAGGGGGGACTCACGTTGTCCACTGGTGTGTTTCATTTGCAATTTTAATTGCTTATCAGACAAAGAGAGGCGATGACAGCACTGGCGAATTGAATGTTCATCCTCTCTCCCCACCCCATAAAGACTCCGTCCTCTTTCATCTCCTGAGATGTTGCAAGTTATGCGGTGGGATGTGCGCAGAGGGCAAAGTGAAGCCGTTCTCAAAGATGAGACTTTGTTCTTGGAACCTCTCTCACATCAAAGTTTCCTCCCCCTTCTCCCCATCTATCCATCCCCCCTGCCTGTATCTGAAGCCATGTTTTTCTAGCATGAAGCCTTCTAGCTATAGACCAGTGTACAAAGGATTTTGTGTGGGTTGTTTTTTTTACAAAAACAGAAAAGCAAGAATTTCCTTTTCCCCTCCCCACTTTTTTTTTTTCTTTTTGTAACATTATCCACAAAAGTTTACAAAATAGCCTTGAAATTAAGCTCTTGGGTTACAGCATCCAATTGGCTTTTCCCAGCAGAATTCGGCCAGATCCAGGAAGTTGTTGCTAGGCAATTTGGAGATGCATCATCATCATCATCATCATTTCTTTTTTTGTTTCGCTAGCCCCAGTCATCACCTTTCCCTCCCCCAGGTTCCTGAAGGTGACCGCAAGTGAGCAAAAACCTGGTGTAGAAAGGGGGTTGGCAGGTTGGATTTATGGGTATTAATGGCTGCTCAGAGGGCAAAAATGAAAAAGATCCTATCCCCAGGGAAAGGCCTTTTTTGTATTTCCAAGACAGGGACTGTCCGACTGGGCTCGTGGCAGCTGGGTTGCTGGAGAACATGGGCAGGGTCAACTGTATGGCTGTTCACAAGCAGAGCAAGGTGCTCCCCAGCTCAGGCTTTCTGCTCTGGGCATTGCCCTCCATGCCCTATCTCCGGACGAGCTTTGCTCGTGGACCTTTCCCTCTGCACCAGAGCGTTGTCTGTAAGGGAGACAATCTGTTTGGCCAAAGGTTGAGGGGTGACTTGGGTGGGGCACGTGGGCAGAGGCACATGGCAAGGCCTACCCTGGGGGCCATGCCTGCTCTGTCTGCCATGCTGCTGTGTTCGTCGGTCAGGTCTTTTTTTTTTTTTTTAATTTTTCCCCCGCTTTTTGGTAAAAAAAAAATAAAAAAAAATCCAGTTTCTCCTGCCTTCCCTCCGCCCCTCACACTGTCCCCACCATGCTTCAGCAGGGTGACCTTCAAGAGTCCAGGGGCGTTGCTTGCACTTCCACAGCGAGAAGCTTGTCCCCATGCTGCCCTTGATCCCAGGGTTGGATGAAAGGAGGATAGACCACGCGCACCGAGGAAGAACCCGGCTTCCATGGTATGCAGTGGGGGAGCAGCTTCTCCGGGCTCCCAGGCTGTGGCCTGAAGGAACCGAAGCCATAGTGGCCTATGAGGCTGATGGAGAGCAGCAAGATGCAAAGGGCCAGCACCGTCAAGATGCTCTGCCTACTCTCCAGGTACCTATAGCGATAGCTGGCCTCTTTAGTCCTGGCATTCACACAGGCCACCTTGGTCTGCAAGTCTACAAATACCACGTGAAGGCAGGCCCAGTATTCAGTGTCCTGGTGGAGCCGGGTGATGTTGTATGTGTGGGTGCCCGCAGGGATCCGAGCTACGTTGGTGAGGTCCAAGCTGGAGCTGAAAGCAAAGCTGGACCAGGTGAGGTTAGAGGAGACGGTGTTGAGGTGCGGCTTCCACGTCACCAGGATGTGATAGGCCTGGACTTCCTTCACCAGGAGCTCCAGGCTGTCCTCGCTGACAGGGAAGGAGCTGTTGACTGTCAGCCTGATGGTCTTCGTGTCGGCACCGATGAGGTTGTGGGCCACGCACGTGTACAACCCAGCCTCCCGTGCAGTGATCTGGTGAATCTCCAGAGTCCCTTCAGGGTGCACCTTGAACCTCCCATCTTCAGAGTACGGGATCAACTTGACCCCCGACGGTGTGACCCAGTAGATCTCCGGCTCGGGTTCTGCCAGGGCCCTGCAGTGCAGTGAGATGTTCTCGCTGTCTGCCACCTCCACGCGGGAGGGGAGGCTCTTGGCGGAGATGAGGGGTAGGCACCGGTCGGTCATTTCCCGGAAGGGCACGTCCCGGATGTGCCTCCTCTGCAGGTCCGGGGGCTCGGCGCACAGCGTGGACTGCGGCTCGATGAAGCGGATGTGGTTCTCGGTGCTGTTGACCCAGCGGATGACGCAGTCGCAGCGGATGGGGTTGCTGTGGATGCTGATCTCCTGCAGGTTGGGTAGGGACTCTACTGTCTGCTTATGCAAGGCACTTAGGGCGTTGTTGTTGAGCATGAGGGTTTCCATTTGGGGGAGGTGGTGGAAAGCACTGGGGTGGATGAAAGACAGCTTGGGGTTGTTGGTCACATCCAGCTTGGTCAGCTCCGGGAGGTTGATCAAGGCAAACTTGTCTATGGAAACCAGCTCCTCCATGTTGTTCAGTCCCAGCTCCTTGAGGTGCAGCATGTTGGTGAAGTCACTCTGCTTAATCCTCTGTAGCGGGTTTTTATTCAGGTCCAGGAATTTAAGGCCGGGGACTTGCTGCAGTGCCCGTTTGGGGACGTTCATCAGCTTGTTGTCATAGAAGGACAAGCTCTCCAAGCTCCTCAGGCCCTCCAGGGCATAATCTGAGATCTCCCTCAGGTTCATCCCAGCCAGAACCAAGCTCCTCAGGTTCGACAGTGGCCTGAAGTTCATATCCAAGATGGCATCCACCTTGTTGCCCCCGATCATGAGGATCTCTAGGCTGGGGAGCATCTGGAACCAGCGGCTGTCGACTGTCCTCAGCAGATTCGAGTTCAGGTGGAGTCGAAGGAGGTTATTGAGCCCTGAGAAGGCCCTGGGGGAAATCCTGCGCAGCTGGTTGTGGTTCAGGTACAGCTCCTGGAGGTTGGCCAGGCCAGAGAAACTGTTATCGGGCAACTCGGCCAGCTGGTTCTCTTCCAGGTGGAGGCTCAGCAGCTGGGGCATGCTCTTCAGGCCGAAGTCCCAGACGCTGGAGAAGCTGTTCTGCGACAGGTCCAGCTCGGTGAGATTTTTCAGATAGTCCAGCTCACTCTGGTCGATCCTAGCGATGTTGTTGCTTTGCAAGAGCAGGGTCTGGGTCCCCTCTGGCAAGCTCTCAGGCACCGTGGAGATGAACAAGTCATTGCAGTCCACAGTGGTCGCCTCCCTGTAGGCGGATCGGGGGGTGTACCATGGCCTGATCTGGCAGATGCACTGCAGTGGGCATTTGACCTTCCAGGGCACGATGGGGATGGCTGCAACAGTTGCCACACAGAGGAAAAGCAAGTTCATTTGAAAGTGTCTCATTTTTAATGGGCAAGACCGAGCTCCTCCCAAGATGAAAACATTCATTGGGCACATCCAGAACTGGGCATGGGGAGACGGCGTGGCGGAAGCAGAGCAAGCAGAAAAAACCCACGCCCCACTAGGCCCTTCTACCCTTCACAGTGTGCTCCCAGGGTGCTAGTGTCCCCGTGGAAGGCGGCCCAGCTTGGCCTTCCCAGTGGAAGAGGTCATAATACGCTGGGCAGCGCGTGGGCCTCTAGTCAAAGCTTCTCCTCTTTCTCCTCCCGAAGCCAATCATTTTGGCACGTGGCTGCATTTTTGGGGTTCCTCCTCAAGGTCATTCCTGAAAGAGACCAAACAAGGGTGTGTGAGAGGAGAATCGTGCAAAGGGCAAACACGCGAGATGGAGGGAAAGGCTGACGGAGAGCACAAGGGGAAGGCTGGTGTCGTGCTTGAAGCACCGAGCAGGGGAGATCAGGGCTGAGCTCTTGGCTCTGCTGCAGGCTATATGTGGGACTTCGGGAATATTGTGTCATTTCTGCACCTCCTCTTTTCTATACAAGGGGTCTGATTCATACTTCTCCTCTCCCATCCTTTGTCTATCTTGTCTGTCCAGGCTGTTCCTTGGGGCTGGGCCTATCTCTTGCTATGTGAATGTGTGATGTCCTGATCTCAACAGCATCTTCTAGACACTGCTGTCATACAAATGCCGATCATCCCTTTCTTTACTGAGCTCCATTAAAAAACAGAGAAGAGTCTGAGTGAAGACTTTGGAAATCAGCATCCTCCAGATTTTAGTGTCTCAGGGCCTGTTCCAAGCATTGGGACGGGTCCCTTAGCCAGCCCAGGCCTCTGGATCTCCATGTTCCCTGGACTTCGGGCATGTTCAGGCCTAGATACCAGGCATCTTGTCTTGGACCCGTCTCAGCTAAATTAAATGGCTAATGTTAGAGCTAGAGAGGAAAGCAGCTTAGATTCAGTCTGGTTAGTCAGGGCAGAATGCAAGTGTGGTGTAATAGGGTATTTGGAGGAAAAAAACAATACAACAAGGCTGTTGGAAGGGGATTTTGGCTTGGAGGCATAAGCCAACTAATTGGGTCAAGGAGAAATGTGTCCCCAAGGGAAATTATCCCATAACTGTTCCCTGCAAAACTTCATGCACCTTCCTTTGAAAGAGCTGCTGCTGGACCATGGGCAAGGGCATGTTGCTAGGCCAGCTGGGTCCCCGGCCACATCCAGGCAGGCCAGTAGCTCCAGCAGGTCTTTATAAAGGGCTGAAAGAATCAACGTCTGTGGACTGGGCCGGGAACCAAGTGATAGTGATGCGTGAGCACTGGGGCACAATGAGGTGTGGGGGCTTTATGAGGATTGAATCCTACATCCAAGCAAACATCTGCTGGTGTGACCCCAAAACAGGAAGAAAGCTTTCAAAGAGAGATAAAAAACCCTGCCATCCATTCCCTCTATCCAGAGGGACAAAATAAAGGTGGGGGGGGAGCTAGATGTAAACTCAGGAAGTGCCTCGTTTGCTGAAGAGGAAGATCGTGGCAAATGCATCACTTGCACACTTACAGAGAGCAGCCTGCAGGCAACCCTTCAGATGCTCCACGGTCAAGTGTGACTAATGCCCAGGGGGGCACTCTAATCAGAGAGGCCTCCTGTGGGGGTGAGACGTATCTTGACTGCAAAGCCTTGTTGCCCCTTGATTACCCGCCCCCACGGCATCACCATCGCTGTGATTATTGTGGGGTTCTGCAAGGCTCCCCGTGGAAAGGAGATGCAGGGAATGAGTCAGACTGTGATTGCCCCTTGCCATTGGAAAGGCGGTAATTGCTAGTGGTAACCGTGCAGCGGGGGCTCTGACGCACCAGCTGTTTTCTGTTCGAAATACAGGGGGAGAATGCAGATCTTTCTGGGGGAAAAGATCAGACAGATTCAGAGCTGGGGGAAACCACTGTTTGCTCAGTGATCTCAGGCCAGTCTTCTTAACTTAACACAAGCCATGCCAGACTGGGTAAGACCATGGGTTAATCATCCCTGGAGCCCATGTCTCTTTGGGGCTCAGAATGGATGCTAAGGGGAAGAGTATTCAAGCAGGGCCTATGCAGACTGATCTGCCCCCTCTCCCCCTGCAGCTTCTGGCATTCAGAGGCCTGGAAAGTCCTAACATGGAGGCTACACGCCTAATGATCAAGTTTAATTCCCACTGATGGACTTGTCCTCCACGGATTTGTCTAACTGGTTAAATTACCATCCTCTACAACAGCCTCTGCCAGGTAGCTAATGTTGAGATATTGGATATATTGAAAAATCCCCTATATGTCTTAAACCTCCAGATTGCTTTCATTTCCCCCATCTGACTCAGAGAAAGGAGGCTTAACTGGAGCGTTGCAGACCCAGGAGACTTGTGAGGACCACAGACATTACAGGCATATAAATCATATGCCAAGAACTTTATGCCAACCAAGAAAACTGCCTTCCATGAGCACGCCTTGCTTCTTCAGCTCCCCTTCCAAGGTGTCCCGGTACAGGCTCACCCTGTTGAGTCCAAAGGCATGGTTTTAACCAAGGCCCTTGAAGTCCAAAAGCATGCATCTCAATCACTTGGGCTCCTGTTTCTCATAATGGAGCCCAGGCTCTACTTCTCATACCTTTCCCTCTTGGTAATTTATGCTGCTTAGTCTTTGCCACTAATTTTTGTATGGGTGGCTGCTATGGGAGGAGAGGATGCTAGAAAGGGATGTGGGGTTACAGTAGGACTCAGTGTTTCTGTGTTGGTGTGTTCCCTTACGGCCAAACCCAGGAGGGAAAGGCGTCAGGTGGCAGACACAGGGAGGAGTAGAGGAGGCTGTTTCAGCATGAGGCTCTCAAGCCTCTTTACCGGGGGCTCGGGTGTCTGTGGGAGCAGGTGACAATGAACTGGGCTTGATTTTCAACTCTTATTATCCCCCCTGTTGGATACCATGATGCTAAGCACCATATAGAAGTGGATGCAGAAACAAGTAGTATATTATAACCAAACTCACTGCAAGCAAATGAGATCTGTAGGAAACAAGAGTAGAGGGGGGCAGGATCTGGACTCTGTAACCTGCCCCTCTATTTGCCAAAAGAGCAGGGCAGCTCTGGGGCATGGGCTTCTCTACAAGTCACTTTTATGAGCACAAAAACACCGTTTCTGAAATTCATGTTATGGTACATAGGCTCTCTCTGCCCCCATATAGACTTCTGTGCCCCTCATGGGCTCAATCCATCATTGACTTTGCACCCATCACGCCCTCCTGTGCATTTATACCACTTAGCCAAGTAGTTCGCAGATTTATTAAAACAACTAAATGAAGGCTTATATAATCAATCCTTAGTTTTTCCCTTCTATTGCCTACCCCAAGGCTGAGTTAGGATTGCCTCAGCTTTAGTTAACTCCTCTTCATTGTATACACAGGCAAGGCTTTTTCTTTTTTTTTTGTAGAAGAAAGGGAACACTAGGCATTTCAGTCTGATGCTAATAATCCTCCAGGCTTTACTTTTGGCGCTCACGACAGACTCCCAGCTTTCTCATAAGGCAGCTGAGAATAGTAGTCTCCAGTACTAAATATTATGGCAATGCCACGAGGGGGCTCCGCAAGCACCAGCCACTTACTGCTACACCTCTCATCGTGTGGCAGGACATACCATTACATGCGATATACTGTACCTCTAAAAATCACTAAGCATTTTGGGAACTGGCTGGCTCAGGGAATTGCTAATAGACTGCAAAGTCAATCTCTAGGGAAATGACAGTGTCTGTGTGTGTATATACAGCATTTAACACAAAAGGGCCTTAATCAAGGATGGGGCTTTAGAGATGCTATGAGCCCCTCAATAAATAATGAAATTGCGGCTGTATGAAGCAAGCTCCTCTCTGTGGGCCCTTTGCTAATCACATCTCTTCTTTAGCTTCTCTATTAGCTGCAATTACTAGATCCATTACACCAATTGACCAGCTCCTATGCAGTGCCGGTGCTAATCATGAGTGACAGGCAGGGAATCAGTAATAATGAATGACGGGCAGAGAATGGGTAATGAGTGATGGACAGATGACATTCTGCAGATCTGATTGCTATAGGGTTTGGTGCCTGTGCAGTGAAGCTGTCAGTGTGAGCTTTCCTGAAGTAACCCAAGGGTCCCCTTCAACTACATGTCACCATATCCCTTTGCCAGCCACCTCCCCAAAGCACAGGTGCTGGTTTCAAGCACTGAGCAATTGCAGCAGCAAAAACTGGTGGACACTGCAAATAGATGAGCTCCACCTACAAAGCTTCAGGGTGAGGGCTTCCCCAGGGGATGGAACTGCCTGGAGGAGAGATGCAGTGGAGAAGACTCACTTTTCTGTCCAAGGCTGCAGGAGCTGGATGTTAGCTCCTTACGCCTAATAGGGAGTCACAGGAATAGTGCTTGGCCTGGGACTCTAGGAGACTCTGCTAAAGATAAAGCGTGCTTGCCTTTGGCATGGGTGTGTGACTGCATTATCAATGCCATCCCCCTCTCCTCACCTTCCCTACTGCATTGATGTAACTATAGCTCTGAGCCCTGCAATCTACTTCTCTATGAAAAGCCCACCTCCGGCCAAGGGGCCTGACTGCATGCGCTCTGTACTCTACATAAGTGCATGGTCATTCCTGCAGCACCCAGGGCACCAAATATTGTCAGCTGTGCTCCCTGCAAAGTGCTCTGGCATAAGCTCCTGTGCCTGCTCTGTGGGGTACCTGAGAACCGCTCTATTAATATGCGTGAAAAGCTCACCCCCAAGCCAGCCAGCTTCCTTCCCTCCAACCCCCCATAGCCTGCTGGGAGCAGCCTCTTTATAAAACCTCCTGGCTCCCAGGTGTGGCTCATTGAGGAGCTGGATCCCAAGAGCTCCCCTGTAGGAAAGAAGGCAGGTAATACTGAACCCCAGCTATGCTGGACAAGATTTGGGTATTGCCTCTTGCTCCAGTGCTCGTTCCCTATCCAGAATAATGGCTTTGGGGTGGGCTGTTATATAAAATTGAAGTAGTTGTTTTCTTGCTAACATGCTGCTGTAGAAAATCTAATAGCACCCAGTCCCATCCCTCTTGGCTTGGCTAGCTCCAGCAGGGAGGAGGCACAGGTAGCTTGAGGCCACTTTTTTGACATACGTATTCTGGGGCTGGCCTGCCCAGATCAGGGGGGCTCACGGCTGCTCTAGCTCGTGCTAAGCTGCATCTGGCTGGCTGGAAGCTGGAGATACCTCAACCAGGCCCTTTCCCCCTCTGGCACCTTGAAAGCAGAGATGCATTGAAAAGGACCTTGCTGGCAGGGAGTGCATTTTGCTCCA